CAGAGTCTTATTCGAACTAACTTGCTATGTAGATGATTCCATGATGCCGCATGGTCTTCACCTAATAAGGGATGACACACCCTTGGTTTGGTGATCCGCTCTACTACCAAATGAAAAAACAGGAACTTTTGCACAAGATACTTGAACAGAGATATGAATAAGAGACAGATAGTTTCCAATAAAAACACAGTTTTTATTGCTTTCCCGCAAGGCACAACAACTGATACACGACATAGCTGTTGCAACAGATAGATTACTCAAACACTTCTATAGAACAGATCCTACAACCTATTCTACCCAGAGTTACGTGACATCACACACACCGTGATTCGCTCCTGTATGTGTTCCTAATCTACCCAATGTAACGTAACAACAGTTACGAAACCTATCTCTTTCACTCAACACAATAGATCAAATGGCTCTCACTGTTTCTGAGTTCTTCAAAGACGTATTTCGGAGGAACTAGTCGGCATATGAACTATCCCCCCTCCTTTTATAGTAGTAGCAACCAGCAACTCCTATAGCCCTAAAAACAGCTCCTCCTTAATCCGAAAGGACAACAGAACTGTTCCTATTGATGTCAGACCACCACTCCCATCAACCTTTGATCAACAGTAAGTAATCCCACTTGCACCTTGANTTTGTGCACTTGTGTCAGACCTCCTTGTTTCCCGAACCCGACTTCCCGCGTACGCTTCCTGGTAGTGCGGTTCCCAGCTCGAGGTGCCACCTGGCGTGCCTAGTCACAAGAAGACTTTTCTCCTTAGTTTGCTGATTATTCCTTCCAACTTCTGTGTAGCACATGAATTCTTCACTGCTTCACTGATCCTGTTGCTTCAGCATATTCTTCTGCACTAACAATATCCATATAAATATGAAAATCTGAATGTAATAAGAATCTATTGTCCAACTAAAAACGAAAACAAAACTAAAAAAATAGTCGTTGGATATCTCCAACGAACAAAACTAGGTTCGTTGGAGATAAAAGATTTATTCTTCTTTGTTTTGTTCGTTGGAGATATCCAACGACTGTTTTCCAAATTTTTGTTTTCGTTTTTAGTTGGACAATAAATTCCGATTACATTCGAATTTTTTCTTGGCGAGTCCTGATTTTGTTCTTCCGATTAAAATTGGATCTTGTTTTTTAATATGCCATTTCACATCTATTTTATATCCTATTTGTACTTTTAATTTAGAATTCTCTTTCAAAACTCATTCTAGGAGAGTCAATCTTTGGGGAGCCGTTTGTACGGCATAAGAGTTAAGATTTTTTATTGGTACACGGAGTTTTAACCCTTTATAAACTACTGCAAACGCACAACAAATGTTGCAGTAATGTATGGATCGAATCCACAAAAATCAAGTATCACACTACAAATCTTTAAGAGTGAAACTAAGGTAAGACAGTAATATGTAGTTGTTTGCAATATGAAACTACATATTTACCAAAAAAAATTAAAAAAACTAATAAAATGGTGTAAAGATCAATTTAACACGTTAGGTCAAGAACGATTCATAGGAGTTAAGAGAGCATGAACCTGCAAATTATTCAAGGAACATATAAGAATAGCTCTGAACTCAAACATGAATGTATAACTAATCCACTATCATGGTATCAATTAATTTATCTAGCAACTTACGATTCTACATTGTCATTTGAATTTAGAATTCTAAACAAGCATTAATAAATTGTCGCTCACCTATGTTTTATCTGGAAACTTATAACATTTTTGATGAATACATTAAACCTTAAATCAGATAATAAATCTCTATCTATGTCTGGGAAAGAAGGAAATTCAGAGTTACCTTTTTTGTTTGGAAAGAGATGGATTGATCCAGGGAGAGATGGATCGATCTGGTTCAATCTAGTTTGGCCCAGAAAAGCTCTACGCGCCAAATGTGTCTGGATTGATCGATCTAGATCTTGATGGATCAATCTAACTCTATATGAAAATTTCAAGCGCACCAGGTGTATTGAAATCGATCGATCTAGATTTGGATGGATCAATATTTCTCTTGCTCCTCTTCACAAAAAAATGGGATAACGTTCTAACTCTTGATCAGAATAACTTCAAACAACCTTCAAATGAAAGCTAACTCAAGTGGTTATCTTGTCTCCATATTTTACCGCAATCCAATCATAGGAACCCTTTCAAATAACACCAAGATTCCAAAGCTTCAGCATGATCCCAAATCTTCATATGTCCAATTGCATCCAAAATATATATTTTCTCCAAACCAACTTAAAACCTGTAAGAACTCAAATAAAAGAACTAAAGATTCTAGAAACATAGTTTGACTCGATAAATGACTCAATAACAAATAATAAAAACACGTAAAATCGTCACACATCACCCATCGAAAGAAAGATGATGTTGATGGATTTCTTCAGCCAACTTAACAGCGTTGACATTTTTCTCCGAAAGAAGGGGGTCCGACGAAGAGTCTATCTCCGGTTGTGTTGAAATTTCCCCAATTCTTTTCTCCGGTGGTCTATGGTCTTTCTGATCAATTAGCCACGTTGATTAAAGGTGGAAGGTGCTTCAAAATTGAGCGATACGCACAAGATCTATGTAGTTTGGATGAAGCTTCATGGTGGTGATGGACGATTAACCGGCAGTTGTTGCCTTGATCGCTCGATGGCGGTTGAGGTGGTGCCATATCCCTGTTCATGAATCGACAAAATGCCACGTTGTTGAAGCTAATCTACAAACTTAAACGTGTGACGACAAAAAAACGTGTATTTTTTGTATGTGTTGTATCTTCTTATTTACGTGTTGGGTTTTGTGGGTAGTGAGTCATCATCAAGTGACACCATATTGTTAGTCTTTATAAGCAACGTTAATATTTGAAAATAAATTTTTATCAAAAATAAAAAAAACATATAAAAAGTGATATAACATCCATGTCACGGAATAAAAATCCATGTCCAAGTGTTAGTTAAATTTCTGTATCTTTCATTACCGAAATTTGTTTCTTAATATATTGTTTCGAAAGATACTGCATAAAGGATGCAATACTACTACGTCTTGGGAAAGTCTTCTCCATTGCATACTGCTTCCTCCTCCTTTAACATCCTATAGTCTATCTATACCTCACCGATAGACCTTATGACGAGTTGACTAAGGAAGTGCTCGAGAAACAACTACCATTGTCCGAATCAATTGTTGTGTGGGTCATGACTCATGACATTCGATAATGAACACTTAGATCCCATCAAACAAGTGAACCATCCAATGAAAGATGATTTCTCTCAAGCAAGACTTCTACTGTAGCTTCACTCGATACTTAAGCAACATTTTAATTTGCTTCACTGGAACCATCAACCAAGTAACATTCGGGTAAGAGTTACTTGTAACATCCCAGAATCAGGTGTACGAGTTTTGGAAGACTTAAAAATATTTTATAAAGGTTTAGAAACTAGTCGGAAGGAAAAGAATGAGGTCCTTAGGAAATGGAAAGCTATAGACCGGCCCGCAAAAAGGTAACGCGACACCTATAATTAAAAAAGGAATGGAAACCCTAGTTTTCCTTGTAAAGGAGGTGGAAAAGCGTGGACAAAGGGTAAGGATGATGGGCTTGGCCCGTGTAGTAAAGAGGTGGAAAAAT